CCGCGGGCCGCAAGCCCCCCCCCCCGGGGCCCTTCCAGCACATCTGAAGAGGGCTGGGTGGCAAAGACATCCAGGAGAGTCAGGGTTGAGGGGGAGGAGGAGGAGGGAGAGGAAGGAGGGTGCCCGCGTTCCATTGGGAATGACATTCCATCAGCAATCAAGGGCATCCACGGTGTTCGACTGCAAGCCCACCCACAGTTTGCCAGATTCATAACCTGGTGGCCTTTTATTTCCCACCTTCTGCCGGGCCAGGCCAGAAACGCCAAGACTGGTCGTGTGTTTTAAGGGTGGGGGGGCAATCAAAAGGGACTTCAAGGCTGGTGTTTGCTTCCCAGATTTGTCTCTTCCACTCCCAGCATCACCAGCTGAGGAGAAGGACACGGTGGTGGTGGTGGTGGTGGTGGTGGTGATGGTGGTGGTGGCTCCTCCTGCCTCCCTCCAGCAAGAAATCAGTGGCTAAGCCTGCTGGTCACCCTTCTGCTGAGAAACAAACCCTGAAGGAGTGTCAAATCCGTAGCAAACAGGCAAACAAAAACCCAAAACTATCCTAAATCCAGCAGCACCCCAGCATGTTGCCTCCATGTCAATCATGAACAGGGATGGGCTGTTCTCAGCATGTTGCCTCCATGTCAATCATGAACATGGATGGGCTGTTCTTTTATTTTTTAAAGAAGGTGTGGCTCCGCTCTCAATTGTCCTGATGAGTAACTTGTGTTGCAGACAAGAAGTCACAGTTAGGACAGAATATGGAGGGGCAGAAGGGTTTCCTCTAGGCCAAGGTGTCTGACAAGGGTGTATTTTGTCCCCTTCTCTGTTCAATCTGGACACAGAACACATCATATGGAAAGCTAAACTAGATTCAGATGAAGGAGGAGTGAAAATTGATGGTGGTGGGAAATCAATAATCTAAGACAGTGGTCCCCCAACCTTGGGCCTCCAGATGTTCTTGGTCTTTAACTCCCAGAAGTCCTGGCCAGCAGAGGTATTGGTGAAGGCTTCTGGGAGTTGTAGTCCAAGAACATCTGGAGACCCAAGGTTGGGGGGACCACTGATCTAAGACATACAGATTATACCAACTTACAGGTAGAAAGCAGCAAGGACTTGAAAGAACGTTTAGGGGGGAGAAGTGAAAGAAGGCAGTGCCAAGGGCAGACCACAGTTGATCATAAAGGAGATCAAAATTATGATTACAGAAGAACTAGACAACTTTAGAACTGACAGTGAAGAAATTGAAATGGTTAGAGATTTCGTACACCTTGGTCCAATCATCCGTCCAAATGAAGACTGGAGCCAATTAGACGGAGACTAGGAAAGGTGGCAATAAAGGAGCCAGAGAAAAGCAAAAAGCAAAGTGTGCCGCTTAGATACTGCCCCACAGCACTTAAAGCACTCTCTGGGTGGTTTACAATTGAATCATGCAGGCTACACATGGCACATATCCACCCCAGCTAGCTAGGTACTCAATTTACTGATCTCGGAAGGATGGAAGGCTGAGTGGACCTTGAGCCGCTACCTGGGATTGAACCCAGGTTGTGAGCACAGTTTGGGCTGCAGGGCAGCCGTTCAACCACTGCGTCACAAGGCTCATCAAGCATATGGATGTGTCCCTGGAGACCAAGACCAGAATCAACCACGCTCTTGTATTTCTGATTATGATGTATGGCTGTGACAGCTGAACTGTTAATAAAGGTGATGGGGAAAAAATGGATTCAATTGGAATATGGTGCTGGAGGACAGCTTAGCAGATACTTTAGCGTTCCGGCGGCCATTTTGGGTGTTCCGGCAGCCATTTTGGAACTGCCGAACAGCTGTTCCCCCATCGCAATGCGAAGAAACATTGGTATGCGATCGCATTAGCAATCGCAAAATCTGCATCGCTGTGCGGATTCATCGTTAAACGGTGCGCTCGTTATGCGAGGCACCACTCTATTATAATAATAACCTATATTAAAACAGTCAATTTACCATTAATAAATCCTGCTGTTCATATGGATACTATTTAATTAATAGTTTCCATATGAGCATATTTAATTAAAATGCTGGCTAAACAGAAAGGTCTTTGCCTGGTGCCGAAATGCCAAAAAAGTTGGAGCCAGGTGGAACTCTATAAGGAGGGTGCTCCAAAGTTGAGGGGCAACAGCCGAGAAGGCCCTATTTCTACATGCCATCCCCCTCACTTCTTTCAAGAGGGCATCTTCAGAAGAGCCTCCTTGCCTGTTCTTAGAGGATGGGCAGGCTCGTACGGAAGAAGGTGGTCCTTTAGGTAAACAGGTTCTGAGCTGTTTAGGGCTTTATACAGTGGTGCCTCGCATAGCGATCACTCCTTTTAATGAAGAAATCGCTTAGCAACGCTGTTTTTGTGATCGCAAAAGCAATCGCTTTGCGATGTTCCCTATGGGGAAAATTTGCTTTGCAGTGATCACAGGGAAGCAATCATCGCAAAGCCCCCATTTTCGGCCTGCTGATTGGCGGTTCCAAAATGGCCACCGGGTAAACAAAATGGCCGCCCCCTTTTTTTGGGGACGGATTCCTCGCTTTAGAGGCACCAGAAATGGCGGCGCTATGGAGGATCTTTGCTCAACTGTTAGTTTTAAGCCCATAGGAACGCATTAATACGTTTCTATGGGCTTTTTAATTTCGCTCAGTGATGTTTTCGTTTAGCAGCGATTTTTTCAGAACCAATTAACATCGCTAAGCGAGGCACCACTGTATTCATTATTACTCATGGACTGCAGCCCAGCTGCTCAGATGCATCTGATGAAGCGAGCTGCCGTCCATGAAAGCTTTGGGTAAATGAAGACCATTTATTACTTAAGATGCCACAAGACTCAGGTTTGGTTTGCAGCCAAAAAAAAACCCCATCAAAACCTAGACTATTCACACAAAGGCTTTATAAATCAAATATATATATATTAAAAAAGGTATTGGTATTGGATTTAATATTTCTATTTTTGTTCTCTATTTTATGAGTTGTAACCCACTCCCAGAGTAGTGCTGGGGACACTTATGGGCGTGGGAGACAAGTGGAATAAATAAATAAATCGACAACAGAAAGCAGCCGCCGCCGCCTTAAATCAAAGCCTCTTTTTAAAAAACAAAACAGCTTGGTTTCCCTTCCAGGAACTGGGCAGGTTGGCCCTGGGGAAGAGGGTCCCTGTGGTGTTAAGCATGACCTTTGGCAGACCTTTGGCAGGCAGTGCTGGAGAGGCAGAGACCCAGTGGAGGCCTTTTCTGGCCCTGGCCTCCACCTCCGGAGAGCCCTTGCCCAGCTGAGAACCGCCTGTTGGACTGAGAACCTTTCATGCGCCTTTCTCAAGATCCCGAGTCCCCTGTTTTTCCACACTATCAGCAAGGATCGTTTTATGCTCTTTTACAGTGATTTTTAGGTGTGCATCTTATGCGGTTTCGGGATGCTTTATTCCCCCCCCCCCCCGGTCTTTGCTGTTTTGCCATGTTTGGCAATGACTGGACTGGGTACCCCGCTGGATTTACTCCTGCTCACACTCTTGAGATGATGGCATCGTGCATATCAGGATGAAAGTGTGGCCATGCTGAGCCATCCTCTAGCCGTGAGACACCAACAGGGCCGTGCGGGGACCTGCCTTCTCTCCTTCTCCCTCCTCCCCACAGAGGCAAGGAAGATACCACCCCTTCTTGCTTCAAACTAACTGCAGTGTACAGTATTGTTTCCCCAGAGGAGAACAAACCGTGGCGAATTTGGTTGAAGCAAGCCGCCATCAAACAGCCCCTTCTGATCCTGACGTGTTTTCACCAGCCACAGTTTTCATGAGCCAGACCTCCCAGTTTGAAGCAAGCAAGAGGCTCCAGTTTGTTTAGCAAGGCGAGGGGAGGGGAGTGGGCCCCTGCTTGCTTCCTTGTGGTCATGCTGGAGAAAGAGGGAGCAGAAAAACACCCTGGGCTCCAATGGAAGTGAAGGTGTCTTTTCCCTCTTTCAAAACTCCTTTTCTTTTCTTTTTCTTTTTCAAGGGAGGGACAGAATGAAGTGTCCTCCTCCCTCTGGAACATTACGGCTGCGCCAGGAGGGAAACTGTCCTTCTGAAGCCAGTTGCTTCTTCTAGAGAACTCAGTTCTCTCCTAAGAGGCTGCAGTTCAACTTTAGTTTAAATTTGATTTTAAAAGGCAAATAGCAAAAGAGAAAATGCATATTTTAACCATCTGATTCTAACGAAACCTTCCTCTTCAGTCAGGCTTCCCTTAGTGACTGACCACTTAACAGATAATAAATGCGATGGTTTATATTTTGTTCTTTCTAAATCTGTTTTTAGTCATGCTGTTACATAACATTTTAATATGTTATTAATTCTTCTTTATATTTGAATAATTTGCTGGTTTTAGATTTTAATATTGGGTTTTTGCTGCAGAGTTCCATGCCAGGATCCGCCTGTGTTTTTGGCTCTTCGACAGAGGCTGCAAGTTTGAGATTTTCAGTCCCAGACTTTTTCTGGGACTTTTGAACTTTGCAGGAAACTTGGAGCACAGGCTGGAAATCACATATTAGATTTGATGTGTTAATGTTCAAGTCATTAA